TCAAGTGAAATGTATCTCTGTAACCTGCCCCCAGAAACACAAGCTCTTTAAAAAGTTAAGGCAAAACATACGGAAAAATGGACATAAGAAATAAAAAATAAAGGCACGAAAGGGAAGAAACTGTCTTCCAAATTGAAATCTAATTAAAGTCTCAATGATTTGTATCAAACAATGTGGAAGGAGGTTACATTCCAGGTTTCACCACTGTCACAACAGCTTGAGTGGTACCAGGGGTGCTGTAATAGGTTTCTTTTCTTCATTTTGGGTGAATCAACCTTTTAAATATGCTTCATACTGTAGGTCAGTCGCACATGTGGTTAAAATCAGTGAGCCAGAAGGTCCTCGGTCAGCGGTGTCTTTTGGCTGTTTCCAAAAGTCTCCCTCAATGTCAAAGCATGCACACACAGACGACCCCAGGGCTTGGCTGGGTCATGGCATGACTGACTAACTCCTAAAGTATGTGTCACCCTGCACATCCTGCACACATGACCAATATCTCTCTGTGCTGGAAAGTATGTATGTGTGTGTGTGTGTGTGTGTGTGCGTCATATCCCATCGAGAGTGATTAAGAGATAATGATTAACACAAAGCTCTTGTTCCAAGCGATAACGTCAGTATTGATGATTTTAATGGGTTTATAAGCACATCAATACACCCACTGCATCACCCTTCACACACACAAACAATGCTCTAATTAATTAGTATGTACTGACTCATTCACTCTGACCTATCCTATCACAGGAAAGCTGTCCTTATCAGAGGCTAATGGCTTTAATGGAGACGCTTCATTTACATCTCTACTTTTTCCATTTTGAGGTAATGTGTTTTCGACACTTGCAATAAACTGGGGTCAGTGGTTATTAGAGTCAGGGCTTTGGATGTTTGACAAATCATTACCATTTGACCTAAAGTCACATGATAGTGGTTGAGCCTCGTTAACATAACTGGCAGAAAGCAGCCAATCAGGGAGCTGATCACCGGAGTAAAAATGTTCTATCTGGTGCTATGAATAAACAATGTGTGATATTTTCTTTGTGAACCTAACTGTCAATAGTTAATTTAAATAGCAATAAGTTACATTGGGTTTTACAATCAGCGATTTGATAATCACAGCTTCAGAAGCAACATGAGAAAACTAACAGAGCTACAAAAGTCACCTGCGCCCACACAGCAGGTAGATTGGTAAAAGAAAAATAAAGATCTGAATTCTTTGCCATTTTAATTAGAAATGCCTTGATAATAGACAAGAACGTTTTGAGAAAGTGAAGCATTTAAACTAATCCATAGTTACTTTTACTGTGATGTATTTTAGAGTTGATTCTTTAGTTTAAAGCAAGACATTCAGTCCTGCAAACAGTTTGTTTTTCAGTCAACAGATCATCACTGGATTGGTGCCTATGAACAGTTAAATGTCTAAAATGCAGTAAAGAGCTAAAAGCTAACTTGTTAACTATGGTCACTCTCCCAGAGCAATTCAGTGTACACCCACCGCTGTAACTGACATGTTTATACTCCATACCAACTGTAGCCACTTTCTTTGTCTCTCGGTTCCCTGTGAAAGTTTACGTCTGCTACTTCCTGAATGTTAAACTGCTGCCATTGTAACATTTCACACATCCAGCCACATTTTACTTGTCACACTGTGAACCCTTTGTACTGTACTACTAACTATTTGAAGGTGGCACCGTACTAGTTTGATTAAGCAACATAGACATATCCCTCACCTCACCCAAACCTTAAACCATGTTGTCAGACTAAAATTCAGTGATTTACATGGTAGGGACCAGCCTCTAGGCCCAACGACAAAGGCTAAGTCCCCACAATGTGAACGTGCTAACAGGTTTTGGTCCCTATAATGTGAGTAATACCGAGGGCACACACATCACAGACAGTGGAAGTGGAGGAATTCCCAGATGGCTTCAGCTAAAAAAAAACTCATCTCTTTTAAATCAGAGCTTCTCATCACTTGACAGGGCCTTTGAAAGGGTAATCTAGTGAATCCCACTCTCCTCATTTCACGACAGGACACACAGCCCCCTTCAGCTTTACACATCTTTACATACAAAGGACATGGCCCTCCTTAGCAGGGTGCTAAAATATTTAATACTACTCCAACTACAGAGAAAGAGAGAGACAGTGAACAAGAAAGAAAGAGATATGAGCAGCAAACCTGACACAAACGCACAGTGGCAGTGAGTCAAAAGTGATGTGCTTTGAACACATGCCACACGATTTGAGGGCATTAATGCACCACTCAGCTTTAATCAGAAAGTAAAGCATCACACAGTATGTGTGAATGTGGACACTGTTGAATATTTTCTGTCTGGTTTGTTTATATTTTTATGAGTAGCCCTATTGTTATGTTAGATGTTTGTGTGTGTGTGTGTGTGTGTGTATATCAAGGCATGTCACGTGTCAATGCAAACTGCCTACACCACACATTCAGCTGGTTTGTGAAGTCACATTTGGATTTCTCACTGCCTATGTCACATGTCAATGCAAACTGCCTACACCACACATTCAGCTGGTTTGTGAAGTCACATTTGGATTTCTCACTGCCTCTTGTTTGTCAATCTGCCATAACAGTAGCTGTGGCCTGAAGGCTGGCTTTGTCAGTAGGGCATTGTGCGAGAATCATACCCTCCCTATAATATAATCAGTTTCAGTGAATTACAATTAGGACCTAGTGACGCACACAGTATTTAGCTACACATCTGAGAGTTGGAAAGTTGGAGCAGAGAGCTGAGAGAGTGACAGCTATCTAAACAGCATCTCTTCCTGGTGAGACAAGAGAATTACAATGAGGATTTTTCACACAGGACTCATGAGCATAAGCTTACTCTGAAGCTATCTATACATGTCTTTAAATGAGATCTCTTACCTGACCTGACTTGGCTAGAGAAGTGAGAGAGCCAGAAAAATGACTTCCTTTGTTGAAGCCAGCAGACTATCGGTTCCTACTTACTGAAAACTGGGACAGGTTTTAGATGGCCAGTGACTTGGACACCTGAGCTACTTAAAAGTCCCCACGGCATACTTTTCTGTGTTTTCTATCTACAATGTTACAATGATGAATTATCATCTTAAATATGACAAAGCTTAAAAAATGAGGTGTACCTACGTTGTTCTACTTCTATGCAGAAGCAGCTCAGTCTATGCAGGTTTTGTGAACTCTCGCTAGTGAGACTTTTTTCCCAGCTACTGTATGTAAAGTCTTACTCAGTAGTTTATGGATTTCCTTGAACGGTCATATTATCTTGGCTGTGCGCATTCATGCGAGCTTGCCTAGCATCCCTGGTGCCATTTTAAAAATGGGATTTTTTTCGACTGCATGTGTGTTGGTGGATATACTGTACTTTACCTCCTGCTGCCTGCATTGGGACCAGAGGATGTGGATTTGAGGTATTGTTGTTATCAAAAACAGATTGTTTTTCAGTGTTTTTTTGTTTATGCATTGTCCTGGCTTCCTGACCGGTCCTGTGTCAGAAAGTGATCCCCCATCGAGATGTGTTTCCCCTGTACTCGGTTTCATGTAGCGACCCCCTCAGTGGTTGTGGTTAGGATCATGTTAGGATTCAGGTTCAAGTTAAACACATCTAAATAATTACAGACTATTTTGAGTTGATGGGTGCAAAGCTAATCCAGAGGTACCCAAGATTACACATTAAATGGCTGGAAATTAGAATGGCATGGGCTCTTTGATCTCACAATGCTGAGATCAATAGTCTCCTCCAGTAAATGCCGTGTAAACTCTGCTTCTCACTTTGCCACCATGGTGCTTCAGCGTTCGTCAACAGCTATCGAATTTGTGACCGGGGTGAAGTGTTTTTCCCCCATCACACTCATCGATTACTTCAGGCGTGCAGGTTGGACAGTACACTTTAGTACCCAGTGTGTTTAAGATCAACTGTCCTGTCTTGATGATGTGTCCTTCAACACCTTTACCCACATACAATTTGTTGTACAAACAAGGTAGCTCTTTTTTGTTTAGAGAGGATATAAGCTCCAACTTCATGAACCACACTTTTGTAGCTACTGACTCCTAGACTGTTGAAGATGAGCGGAAAACCATTAGAAACTTTAAATAAGATTTCCCTTCAGTGGTGCACTCACTGGCTCTGATCTTCGTACCGGAGAAAAACATTGTTGGCCTTTTATTAAACAATTAATTACTCGGGATACTGAAACCTTCCCTCTGTGACAAATGGATTATGCTTCACCTATAGCGGAAATGAAAACAAAGCACCCACTTATCTGCCAATTAGTCGGACTCTTTATATAAAGGTTTAATCTCCACGGGATTTATTTAATTGCCTCCTATTTCTTTTTAATTTCCAGTGTTAAAGAGGCTGAATCAAATGTGATTAGTTGAAACAGAAATGTTATTATATAGCAATCAAAATCTTATCCTAAAAATTCTACAAAGTTTTATTAGCTTGCAGAAGATTAAAATGACAATCAGGGTTTTGCAATGCTGGCTGTTGGAAACTGTCTCTGGGTTTTGTGGGAGTGCAAGCTGAAAGATCGTCAACATCTTAAATCTTTAACAGTGAGAACTTCATAATTACGTGACATTAATGTTATGCATTGTTACAACTTCTGCACAAACAGGGGAAATACAAGCATACACACCGGGGCATTTTCCAAATCTGATTTAACACTGGCAACAGTTAGGGACATTTCAATGGAAACATAATGAGTTTTTCTCAGTAAAGGACAGTGAGTGCTATTGATCAGCGAAGTGACAATGACAGGGAATGACACACTGTGCTCATCTCAGACCCAATCTTTATGGATTTTTTTTTTTTTTGAAGATTCAAAGTTTAATTTATTAAGACCCACTGAAAAATGTGTTTGCTGTTCTATTTCAAACTGTGTTGAGTTCATCAATGGAACCAGGTACTTCTACAATGTTAAATACATTTTTTATAATAATTGCAAGTGCTATAATTGCTGTAAGTCCTTTACAAAGTTAAGAAAGTGGTTGAGGAAAAACAACATTTACGTTACACATACTTAATCAGGTTTTATTTACAAAAAAGTCATTGTCAGGCACTTGTAGAACAGGATGTTGGTCTTTACTCTGGGATGCCAGAGAACCTTCCTGGGCTGTTTTTCAAGCCCCGCAGACACACAGTAACCCTGGCAATGGGGCTGGTATCACAAGAAAAAAACATCAAATTCCACCTGTCTGATCAGAGATTAGGTCTGTGGGACCCTTGTCCCGCTAATCTTAATTTGGTTAGATTAACCTTGGAAAATCAAAAACGGATTAAACAGGCTCTCAGTCTACCTCAGGTTTGATTTACTTGAAGAAGAAACGCCACATAAAATTTTCTTGTGGCCATGTTGGCTCTTGCTCCAAGTCCCAACTTTCTAACACACCTTTAGTAGATGAAGTCAATGTCTCACTGAATGTTTGCCAAGCTTTCTTTCCCAGCATCCTCTACTCGTGCTCTTCTCATCTTTCAATTTCATACTGGCATCCCTTCTGTATCTTACTGTTTTCTGTAAATTACTGACTCACTACCTGTGGTTTTCCACTCAGTCGCCTTTGTTATCGCTGCTGTCCTGCAGTCCCAGGATACTCTCCAAAAGCTTTGCTCTAATGGGAGGCAACTGCTCGTACATATTGAAGCCAATCTCTGATTGCTGATGGGGCAGACGGAAGAGCAGCAAGTGGGTCCTCAACACCTGAAGATGAAAGAAAGAGGAAGCTAAAGTATTAGATAAATATCTGAATAAGTTAGCTAGGTTAAAGGTAATAGACATATGGTGGTGAAACTAAAGGCAATAAATGGCTACAACATGAAAAAATGATTGAAACTTAGCTACAGTTATGAATTAATAGTTGGAAAATGTAGTCATGAATGAATAGCTGAAACATTCTGCCACTCTGAGACTGTACAAATACAAACTTGACAAACTGACCTAAACAATGACAGTTCAACTGTATGAACAAAACTAATTTTTATATACTTAATATTGTTGAAACATCCAGTTTAAAACCCAAGTGAAATGAGCACATTTGGAACCCGTCATGATCTCAACAAAGGGGTGCTCTGATCTGACAGAGCTGTGGGAGTAAACCACACAAAAACAGCTATGAATCACTAGTGTAAACAAAGCCCTCAGGTAAAAATAAAATCAAATCACACATGGCTTCTAAATTACTGTAATCACTGCAGGAATCATTATTCTATGAAACTAAGGGAGCAAGCATATTACTGGAGTTATGGAAAAGGTGGAAAAAAATAAAAAAGTTACATAAAACAAATAAAGATCACCACACAAAATGATAGAACACTATTAAACATTTTTAACAAATAAAATAAAGTGGTTACAGAACAGAAAAAAGTCTAGTAGGCTAACTGTTACTTGGACGATGGTCAATATGACAAAAAACAGCAAGCAGCAGACTGCTTTGTCAGAGTAATGTGGAGAAAACAAAAATAATCTGAATCACAATCACTATACACCTCACACTGGTGAGGTATAATGAGAGAGAGAAGGAGAGAATGAAGGAAAAGAAAGCAGGGGATGCAAAAAGAAGCGGGGTACCTTATCGGTCAGGTAGTAGACTTTCCTCAGCATGCTGTGTCGAGCTGCTTCAGTCTCCTGGGCAAAGACAAAGAGATTAAGGCTCAAAGGCCTCAATGATGTACTTTAAAAATGCTCCACCTGTTTGCATTAGCAAAATTATGTGTTTTTAAAAGGAGCAAATAAACTTAAGCTGGTAAATGTGTTTTTTATTCTATTATGTTAACCCCCAGACCTCACAGTTAAATCACATCCACATACTATGACTGATTTAAAAAGTCATAAACAACAGGAATACATAATTATAACATTCAGAAAAAGCAAGGCAACAGACTTCATCAAGAGAGGCTTGGATTCATCTTTGAATCCTCTAGGGAGTGGATTTGATGAATCAGGAATCGGTTTCCAGTGCTGACAGAAGTCACAGATTTTCTATCTGTTCTGAAAGGCACTTCCTATTCAGCTGTGGGCAGTGCAGTGCTGCCGTACCTGTTCTGCAGCGTGCTGAGAGAAGATGAAGGAGTTGACGTGAGACAAGGCTACCACATACAAGACTGGACACCAGCAGAGCTTGAGGGTCCCCATTACCAAAGAGCGGAAATAGAGACGGAGGAGAGGGAGGGAGTCTTCAGGGGGAGAGTTTAACCGCTCGATAGGGATGCACAGCTTCAAATGAAGAGACAAGGAGTCAAGAAACAAATCTAAATCATGTGCTAAATGATCACAGAATTGGGTTATACAGACTGACAACAACAGCAAAACTACTCAGAAAGATGAAAAGGCAGCTAATGAAAATAAAAAGCAGCAACATCCTCATCATTACCTGCTCCAGAGTGACCCCCAGTGACCTCAGCATCCCTACATGTTCTCCAAACACAGACAGCCTCAAGGTGGTGCTGTACCTCCTCTGCAGGGGTAATAGGACCCAGCAGCCAAACAGCCGGTCTCCAAAAGACACAGCTTCATACTGGGCTAACAGGGCTGAGTACAAGTCCTGGAAGGAGGCTAGACCTGGAGGCGGGATGTTCAGGTCCAAAGAGTCCAGTCTGGCTTGTCTGTAAATGAAGACCTTTGGTTTGTTAGGATCGTTGCCACCATGCTCAGTTTAGATTGAACAAGGATATTAAACATTTAATAGATTATGTCAGACCTTGTCAGCAGCCTAAATAGACCCCAGGTCAGTTTCTGAATGGGTCTCTCCAGGAACAAGTCACTGGAACACAGGAATATGCAGGACAAGCGGGCAATCTTGGCAGCAGGGGGGATCATCTACACAATGACAAAAATGTTCTGGATGTTACAGTAACAAATGTAATGGATTCACCAACAAATTCATTCAACAAATCGAATGGATTCAAATGTAATGGATTCAATGGAAGGTGGATTCACGTTCAAATCGCTAAAGCTTACCTAAAAAAAGCCTTTTATTTATGTTAGCCCAAAGTTTTTCAACTAATTTTATTATACTTTGTATATGTTTTATTCGATCTCATTCTCTGTCCTTGCTTTTCCCCATAGAAAACACTTTGTAACATTGTTTTAAAAGGTGCAACATTATTAACAGATTTTAGCTCCGTTTCTGGTATACATTGTTTTTTTATGTTCCATACATATAAAACTGACTCGTTTATGTACCTTTAGCGCCTCTTCCCTCCACATCTCCAGCAGCAGCAGCCACTGCAGACAGTGGGTTACAGCCTGCAGAGCTCCCGACGGAAGCTCCTCCACAGCTAACCCCCCACCATCAGACATGCCGGCGCTTTCATACAGACTGACTAGTGGGAGGAAAGGCCAGTCAGATGGCAGGGTGGGACCGGTGAGCTCTGGAAGGAAACGGGAACTGATCCAGGGGTTGCGGCCGAGGAGAGCATCTCGGGACACCAGTACACATGGCTCCAGGTGCGCCAGGTGAGTGAGGAAGCAGCCTCTTATGGAGGGCAGCTGGACGCAGGCTTTTCTCAGGAGAGTGCCGACAGTCTGGAGAGAGGGAGAAGGGTGGCGTTGAGTTTCGTCATGAAGCTTCAGCTCCCCTAGCTCTACGGCCTCAGGTCCTCCGCTGTGGCCCTCTCTGAAAACCAAACAAATCAACAAACTGTGTAACAATGTAATAAAGTGGCAGCAAGGAATGTGGAGCATCACCTTAGGTGGAAATGGGTTATTTGCTCATTTGATTTTATTACAAAGAAATGCAATAAAAATATGATAAAATTTGTTAAAGTACATTATAATAATGGGTTTCATTTTATAAGCAGCGTATTGGTTGAAACAAAAAAAATTCTAAATAATATTTCTGCATCTTTGCATTGACTGTGTTGGCATCCCAGATTCAACCGAGTATAAACAGTATAAACTTACAGTATAAAGTCCTTGCAAAAGATGATGGTGGAGAGCAGTTCATGTGCCAAGTATTCACTGCCTGGCAGTAACCATGGCAACAGAACCAGCGCCACCTGGTGGTAGAGTGATGCATGTTTCGCTACATCTGGCTCAATGGGAACCTGAGAAAAGGTGAAAATGAGAACAGAGTAAAATGAAGTTGGATGCACAAAAAAGACAACTTGATAATGATGAAATGATCAATTTTATTCCATTAAATAGCAAAGTGGAGTGAAGAGAAGAGTTTACCAGTCTGTGTGCCAGGCGGAGCAGCAGGTAGAGGAGGTGGTGTTCATGTCGGAGAAGCCAGGCCCTTGTGTGAGACAGGGTGGGTGTAGCCTGACTGCAGCTACGCAAGTAGCAAATCACAGGCTCTGACAGGAGGAGACCAGTGGCCTAGAGAGTGGAGGAGAACATCAAACAGGAAAGGGAAAATTTGAGACAAAATACATTGGATATTGTGCATGTCACCACAAGATGGCAGCATAATATATCTTGTGGTGTTTCTAGCCCAGTGATGGACAACTGTGTGCACTAAATTGCAAGAGGCTGCAAACAGAAATCACATTGGTTAATTTTAAATGATTAGCTGCTCCTCTTTGGCTGAAATATGTGCTCAACACTGACACAGATTTATGAAAACAAACACAGACTACTGTACTGTATTGCGCTCGTTGACACTTTACTGTCCCTCCTTGGAAAAAAAAAAAAAAAGGGGGACACAAAGGGAAATCTACTGTACCTTGCAACTGAGACCTCTGTGTATGCCTATGACTGTTTCCAAGAGGAGCGCCAGGCCTGTGAGAAGAGGGAAGGGGGAGCTGGGAACAACCAGACCTGGACGATCTCTCCAGCCTGGGCAGGCCAAGCCAGGGAGGCTAGGGGTGGTCTCTGGGTCTGGATGGCTACTGTGGACATTACACACTACTGAAGAAGACCTAGAGTAACACAAATTATAATGTAATTAAAAAATAATTCAATAAATAATATAAAAAATAAATAATAATGCTACCATTATTTTGGCATTAATATTATTATCTGAACTGACTTGGTCTCACAGCAAACTACACTTACTTGAGGTTTTTTATCAGACCGTGCACAACACTGTGAGACATTAGAGGGAGGAGAACCTCAGACGTAAGCTGCTCCAGCTCTTGAAGGGTGTCAACCGGCTTGAAAGAATTCTGTGGAAACCAGTTACATTATTATAATTATATAAATATTAGAGTTCATCAATGTGTTTACATATGTGGTTTCATTTCCAACAAAGTAGAAAACTGTACCTGTTTGGAGAGCTTATGGTAGTAAGCTTCTAGGTAAACCAGGTAAGCTGGTATCAGAGTCAGGCTGTTGTCTTTCTCAACTGGATTATCAAGACTCCTCACAAAGCCCTTCAACTGCCCCAGTAATGCTGCCTGTAACCCTGTGACATGACCCCATGATACTGGAGGGGGAGGAGGGCACTCTTCTCCATGAGAGCTATAGCGCAGAACAGAGAGGGCAACGTATTGTAGATGGGAGAGCAGTGTTGTGTGATGACTCACGTAGCATAATGGTTTTACTAAACTATTACAATTATCTGTACCTGACTATGCCAGCCTGTAGCTCCTGGTGGCACCCGGCAGTGTGCGTGACCTGCGTGAGCAGAGAAAGCAGGGCCAAGATCCGCTGGAGCTGCAGAGGCAACAGAGGATCTGAAGGGGCCAGTGCTCGGTGAACAAACTGCAATGCTTTTACTAAGGCTGGGTACAGGTCTCTGTGGAGAGATGATGACAGTACAGGGACCAAAGTCAGGACTGCAGAAAAGATCATCGCTACCAGCCTGCCCTCCATGGAGGACCTGTACACCTCACGGGTCAAAAGGAGGGCAGAGAAGATTATGCAGTCCCCTCACATCCCGGACACAGACTGTTTGAACCCCTCCCCTCTGGACGGTGCTACAAGTCACCGTACACCAAAACGGAAGAACATTGGATATACACACTGAGAGCCACTGTACCAGAGTCAAATTCCTCATGTGTCCAACACACTTGGTCAGTAAAGCTGATTCTGAATCTGAAGCTGAAGACCCAGAGAAATTTGCCATAAGTAGGTGGATAGAACCAGAACTAAAAGAAAAGCAAGTTTTGGACTTAGATTCAAAAGCAGACGTAAGCTGCTAAAGGCACAAGTGCACTAACGTGATAATGCTGTTCTATGGCCGTTTGATCTATGAGTATATCAGATTTAGGTTTATCTCATACCCCTTCTGCCAGTAATGCTCAAACCTGAACCAAAAAAGCTTTAGGTGTTAGCTTACATGTATAATTTGCAGGCCTGTCCATAGCTGGCTGCTACAGCCCACAACCTGTAGGCTTCGGTGGTGATCCTGATGGCCTCGGATGGCTCCAGCAGCAACTCACTGGGTTCAGCACTGAGCAGACATGACAGATGCTCACTCACCCCCAGAGAGTTTAACTGGGGAGAGGAAAGAAAACTACAGATGCATACACAGGTAGAACTCATGGAATACCTTAGATTAAACAGAAACAATAATTAAAAACTACTTAGCATCTTTAGCAGAGGTTACAAATATGCATGTATGTAAGTATTAGTGTTCATCTTTCTTTTAATGCAACTTTATAACCCCTTTCAGACATGTACTGACACCCAGAAATTATCTAAACATTACCTGGAGGAGCTGTATGTGAGAATGCAAATGTTTGAGTCAGTTGGCCCAGGCATTAAGTGGACTTTGCCCTGCCAGTACAAAGTCCATGTCATGTCCAAGTGAGCTAAAGTGAGCCCATGTGAGAAAACAGTAGCGTATAGTCAGGTAAGAAGTTGTCTTAACACAGACTGCCTCCTGTTGTGTGATACATGTGTGAAAGGGCAACTCTGGACAATGTCTGCAGAAAACTGTCTGAAGTTCATACGTGAAAACATCTTTCTTGTGGTTTTATATTTTCTGTTTTACAGAAAATTAATAGTAAAGCTCAAAGGCTGGATTTCAGACTCATGGAGTCTTAGTTAATCAATGATAACCTCTTGATCACTTGAAATAGCACCATTCAGAATCAAAGCATTATAACAAGGTTGTACTTACCAGTCTGGCGCAGACATGTCTGCCAGAGGCAGCCAACACTCTTAAGAGCTTCATGGTGCTGGCCAGCGGGAGTCCATAAACAGATGGAGAAAAAGATAAAGATGGAGATGTCCAGGAAGTGGGAAGGAAGTTGGACATCACTGTCTCCATCAGGCGAGGACAATCCAGCACCTGAGAGACAAACACATTCCTACTGAATTAGCCAAACAAAAACATGGTTAATAACTCAACCGTTGAGTGACTGACTTTCTGAGCAGAAATGTAGTTGCTACTGTAGTTACCTGGGTGGCAGATGAGGACGAGTGCCTAGTGATGCGAGTCAGGACCTCTAGGACATCATGGACCACTCGAGGTGATGGTCGCACTACCTCAAGAATGTAACGTAGCCTCGGGAGCAGTTTCATCTTTAACAGACCCTGAAACCCAGACAAAAAGAAGAGAAAGCCAGCAATAATCATTCAATCATCATCTTCAGAATTTCTTCATTTGATTTATAAAACATTACAGATCTGAAAAACATAAGGAAAACAAGCAAAAGTCAAGAAAACTGAATTCTGCTTGTTTACCTTGACAACATCCTGCCTGGCCACATCATGATCGCTCTTCTTTTCTTCCTTCTCTTTGGGTGTCTCCTTCATACTTGCATCAAGCCCTTCATCCTCCTCACCTTCCTCCTCCTGAGCAGACGGCAGCAGAGGGTAGGAGGCCAGGCCATGAAACCAGGAGAATGTCCAGTCCAAACACTCCTGAGACGGGAAACAAATCACATGTGAATCAGAGGAACTGGACACTGGATTGATATTTTCTTGAGATGAACTGTAATAAACAACTACAGTGTATCAGATCTTTAAAAAAAACAGAGTTTTTGGTTTTGCTTTACTGACATATTTTGTAATAACTGGTCAATGTTAGGATGTCTTTGAAATGCACTTCCCAGAAACACCAGTGGGGCTTCAGAGATGAACTGATGGCTTGTAAATACAAAATGAGCTGTCTTACTTCATCTTCTGGGCACACTAGGAGTGCTTTAAGCGCGTGCACAGCTGCAGACAACACTCCCTCCACACTGTCATCCAATGCAAAGCGGAGCAGGAAGAGCAGGCCGGCATCAAGCAGAGTGGACATCACGCTGCCCTTTAGAACAGAAAGGTACTCTCCAGCACGTGCCTATGGGGGGGGGGGAAGAAAGCAGCATGTGACTACAGACACTGTAGATACTGTATGTGTGACACCAAGTTTGTGTTTGTTTCTGTACCTTTGAGAGTATGTTGGCTAGAGTGCTGAGGGCTAGACTCCTCTGCTGGATGACCTGACTCCGAGACAGCAAGAAGAGTTCCTGCAGGGTGTAACCTGCCCGCTGGGGAGAAATCCTCAATGTCAGGAATGAAATTGTAACAAACAAGAAGAACAAGAGCCTCGTCTTAAAAGCAAACTTTGAGATGGCCTAGATTTTCAGTCTCATCATGGTACTGATAAGAAGTGGCATGACAAGGCTGGCGTGACAGTTTCATTCAGCGGCAGGTTATTTTAAAGGCTGTCAGGTGAAAGCACTGTATTAGGAGCAATGTTTCACCATAACGGCATGTTAAAAGTCCCTTTGTGAGAGACACAGAGGGGAAAAACAATGATTAAAAAAAGGCTTTTTTAAGATTTTGATGTATTGCCTACTGACCTCAGGCTCCTCTCCATGATGGTGCAGCCCCAGGTGAGTGGGCAGATCCACAATGGGTGGAATCAAGCTACCAGCAAAATCAAAACGAGCCTGCATGGCCTATCAGGACACAGAACCACAGGATGCACTGGCTGAGATGCACATTCAGTTTAACCCAGAAAAAAAGTGAACACTGGAGTGAATCCAGAAAAATGAAATAATAATGCAAAACCTTCAGCAGAAGTCACTCTTTACCTTCTTGGTTCCTTTCTTTCTTGGTGCAGGCAAGTCTCCCATCCATCCCAGCTTCTCTGGCTCTATCTTATCCATGTGGACCCATTCTTTCTGAGGTTTCACTGGAAGATCCTCCTCTGATCTCACACACACACAGCAAGGTAGAATCATGTTGAGTGATAATGTATGATTGTTGCATCTGTTGCATGTCATGACTGTTGAAAACTCCATTTAGCTCACGCTCAGACAAAATACTATAGGACACTACAAACTTTTATACAAAACCATTGCAAAAGCTTGTGCTTCTTTCAGGAGTAAAAGAATTATGAATGAGCTGAATGAAGCAAGAAGTGATGTGAAATAATTATTCAGTTTAGTCATTCACACTGCTTAAAGGCCACTGGTTCCTTTATATCTCCAGCAGTAGCAGCAGAGAGAAGGAATGGACAAGGTACACGTGATAAAAGGGTTTATTCTGAATCCATCATACCTGTCATAGTAGATGGAGGTGACAATTCCTCCTCCTCCTCTTCCGCTTCCATCTCCACTTCTTGGGGTTTCTGAAACGGCACAGCAGCACTAGAGGAGTCCAACTCTCTGCTCAAACTTTCAAGAGGACAACTGTCCTCGTTGCTTTTGCCCTCAGGGTGTTTGGATGGGGAGGCAGAGGACGGCACACTCTGGGCTTTGCGAGATTTAACAAACTCCACCAGTCTCGGATCTGTGAAGCAGAAATGATCATATTATAAACTGTGATACAAACAAAAAGGAAACATGTTTTGATGTACTTTGCAACACGCAAATATCAGTACAAGAACATGTATTAGATTGTTATTAAGTATCATGTGAACAAAAGCTTGGCATACCAAGCTGAGATAAGAGTTTCTGCTGCTCCTCTATTATCTCAGACTGAGACATCGCCTGGAGTTTGGCCTGGTTTTCCCTGTGGATCCTCATGATCTCTCCTGATCTATCTCGGCCCCCAAGCCCCTGACCAGACACCAACATGGAACCTGAGACAGTAGGCGGTTCTAGTGAAAAGCGAGGAGACAAAGAATAGACAAAAGACATAATGTCAAGAGAGGTGTATTTGGTAAAAAAAAAAGACTGTCATCAACTTACTTGTGAGCTCTTACTACTTATGATCACCTGCAGTATCACAATGATTTGTATCCATACTAGTACCAGGGGGCAGGTTTTCTTTGATTTCAGGTGTCTGAGCAAATTCAGGTGCACAGTGTAATGATGTCTTGCTCTCCTTAAATCTCTGAGCAGCAATCTGACAAGCAAAGATACTCTTCTTTCCACCAGCTGAAGACAGAGGCACCTGGTTGTAAGAAGAAATGCACTTAAAATATTCAGATGCAGACACACCAGGGTCATTTCCCAAATTAATACAAATAGGTATGAACATCCAAACTATATAAGCTATTTAATTAATTCTGAAATGTTAATATCTTGTGGTTTGAACACATTAGCACCCTAAATGGAAAAAAATACAGAAGAATGGACATGAATGTCTTTGTACCTGGCTGCTGGTTTCTGAGCGGTGTAGTACTTTTGGGAAAGCCATGCCTGTAAATGCAGGAAGAGACACTGGAGTAGAGCTGGTATCCCGCTCCTTGAAAGAAAGAGTATTGTTACTTAATCATAGGTGAAACAATAAAAAAAACAAGTAAAACTGTGCATTACTCTATGTCGAACTAGACACTTCTGAACACAAAAACACTTTTGAAAATAATAATCACATATTCACGCTTCAGCACTTACAACAATCCTGGAGAGAACAGCACTGATGTGAGTGTCATGCCTATCCAGCCTCTCTTCAGCATCCTCATCCTCAAAGGTGACACGACTGGCTTTAAAGCGAGACTTCTTCGGAGGGGCTGGTGTCAGAGAAGGGAGCTGATCTGGAAGATCTAGAGGAAGCAAAACAGTTAAACATGAAGTGTGGGTTTTCTGCATTAAATAATCTTATGGCTCTATAGTCCATTATTGTCAGATGTTGCATATACAGTAAAAATATGGCATACGCAAGTGCTTTTATCTGTTAGGGACGATGACAATCTCAGACATACAGTATCTTTTACCTGCTATGGTGACCACATCCCTCTGACTTCCTTCATTCTCCCTGTTTCGTTCCCCTCCATCTCCCCCAGCCTCGCCTCTCCTCTTGTCAGGTCTGCGACCCACATTGGCAGCAGATGGAGCACCCGAGGTCAGAAACTGCTCCTGCTCTCTTAAGAGGTCTGCCTCGGAGTCAGTTGGCTTGGGACGCCGCAACATCCCGCTGAAGGACAGAAAACATATTATTGACACAGCCATTGTTGATCTAATTCCTTTTTCTTAAGCATTTGTGTCTCTCCATACTTCAACCTGACATCTCTCCAATACCTAACCTAACCACAACCTAACACTAGGGTTAGGGAGAAACATACAGTGAAGGGGGCCCTAAGCTGGAGGGTGCCCACAACCGTAACAGATACGCCTGTGATGACAGATCTGAACTGATTAAATTGAAGCTCATTCAAGTTGACCTGTGCTTCATCTCAATTATCTGAGAAGAGAACGCGACAAATATTAGTTGGTTATACCTTACCAAACGTTAGCTAAGTTAAATATAGCTTCTTCGTGTTCACGTGTACTGAAGTTTACATCCAAAAACCACTGGGGATGAATGCAACATGCAGTTAACGTTAGCTTGAAAACTTAAACCCCAATCGGTTGAATTCAGAATCACACCAAACAGTATCACAACAACGTGGCTGTCTTTGTTGCTGTAAAAAAAAAAATTCACGGTTGTGTTAGCT